TTGGAACCCATAATCTGAATATTTCAAACTCTCAACTCTTAAACTAAGATGTTTATTTTTTTTCACAATATCCATCTATATTCACCAATACAAAAAAGGACAAAAGAGAGAAATAAAGTAACATCCTTTTTTTAAACAAATCCATCTTGCTTTTTCACCTGTCTTCCAAAAAATCCCTTCCAGGTAAATTACTGAAAAACCACTATACTGAATATCAATCATATTTGTTCAAATTTAGTGATTAATAGAGCTGTAAATACATCAGAATTAAATGCCACATTCCTGCTGAGACTTAACCCTTCAAAACACCCCAATCTCCAAACAGGCAACAACACACACCCCTTAACCAGTAGAGTCACGTCAGGTATTCACTGGATAGAGGGGTCACCTGTAACCCAAGTCCACTGCTTTCAACCTCCGGACAGAGACACACAGGAAATAAAGACGCAAGTGACAGACAAAATACACAGGAAAAAGAAGCTGGGATATTTTAAGGTCCTAGTGTAAATGGAAGCTTATTAGCCCTGGCAGTTCCTGATAACCATAGGGTCTTTATTTACTGGTATCGGGTATCTTGCTAATAAAACTTGCAATGACTCCCCATTTTCATGAATGGTCTGGAGGAGATTATTTTGCAGGTTATTTTCTGTCCACCTCCCCCCATTATTCCTTTGATATAAACAATGTTGTTTCAGTCAGTGCCAAAAACTTTTTTAAGCTACTAGCCCTTTGTGCAGTCTGGATATAAAAGTCAGCTTATCTTGTAGAATTGGAATTTCTTTACTTTAGGTGGGAAATTGCCTTGGACTAGTCCCTTATGGACTGTTTATTTCAAATGCATTTCAAAATAATAAACAATAAATATACAGTTTTTCATAAACTTCACACACACAATTTTTTTAAGGACTTGCTAAAATCACTAGAATCAAAATTGTCTCTAACAAATTCAACTCAGACGAACTAGGACATCAAATCCCCTTTACTTAACCAAGCCACAAGTGTCTCTGGGTGGGGTGACCCATATTTTTCAATTCACTGAACAGGGACAACATGCACTTCCCTATAACCAACCAGCACCCTGAGTCACCTGGGGTTTGGTACTGTTTTCATAGTCTATTGACCAGAAGGAATGCAGAGTTTGTAACAGCTGAACAAGGGTGGGGCCATGCAGTACAGCAGACAAGAGAGTGACCGGGTACCTTAATTCCTTTGAAAAATGAAAGGTTTATTTTGCCACAAAAAACTAATACAGTTTATATATGTCAGGAAACAGAGGAATGGGTAACTTCAAATATTATTCAACAGAAAAGAGAGACCTCAGAATAGTTTTGAAATAACTTATACATTTTCAGCTCTTTAATCCAATGGCTGATTATCTAAGCCCCAAGTTTTGGTCACCACTGTCCACTCCAAATACATTTCCTTAATCTGCAACAACCAGATCAATTCCCTACCTCCAGAAAAACATGCTGATATTCACTCAGAAATGGTCAAAACTTGCAATCTATGGCGCGTGCAGGGAAAGATAACTGTCTTAGCCAGTTAAATAGCCAATGTTTTTCTTGCCAAACTACCTTATAGCTGTAACATGCCTAGTTAAGTTTTATACGTAATGACAAAACAAAAAGTTATGGTTATAAGTTATCATTATAATAAAGCAAATGGGTTTTCATAAACATAAAGGGAAATTTTATCTATAATTTTATTTATAATCTCTCTCTCTCTCTCTCTCTCTCTCTGTGTGTGCGTGTGTGTGTGTGTGTGTGAGTGCGTGTGTGTATGTGTGTGTGTTCAAGAGTTAGGTAAAAGGTGTCAGAAATCATCCACTTTAAATCCATGAATGCTAGGGACAGTACGACCCCCTCAACCAACACACACATACACACTCGCCTCAAGTATATCAAAGATGTTTGCAAGCGTCAGATCTGCTTCAATTCAGCATCAGTGACATTTCCCCCATCACGTTTTCAAAATGCTGTCAATGCCCTTAATGCAGGAGCTGTGTCATGCCTGTACTTCATAACATCAAGAAGATGCCCATCTCGATTATCTCCAGAGACAGAGACACTGTGACTAATAGATAGAAAGTCCCCAGCATGATTAATAAATTCACAGATAATATCAAAAAGACACGAATGTGAACAATTACAAAGAGGAATCATTCCGATTATCATTCTCTTGTCTGGGAATATCTAGTCATACCCGCCCTCTTAAGTAATACAAATTTAAATTCAATGTTAACACGGTCTCATTGTAAACCGTGCCAAAACCACAATACTCTGTAACTTTCTACGGGGTTGAGGACAGATTTACTACCAATTCCTAAAGCTGAGGATAAAATGATACATCATTTCAGGTCTTGGGGAAATAATAACTATTGTTACGGTGAGAATTTTTCTTTTCAGTTTTGCCACAGTTCAAAACAAAACAAATTCCGTTAAATAGAAGTTTTAACTCCACCCAATAACAAAGAAAGTAGAAAAGTAATTTCAGCAGCAGCCTGTATCAATTATAGTACTTTTTTTTGGAAATACCCAACCAAATACTAGTAAACGGATCAGTTTCCTTTTATATTATTTTCTATGGGTGTAGCCCCGCCCAATGTACCACATAATAAAACAGCAATAAAAAATAGATCTATCCAAAAGAAATCCAATCTCACCAATTGAATTCCGATTTAAACACGACACAACTAAATGAAGTTAATTTTAGGTGGCTGCAGTTAGGAATGGCTGCTCTCGCATGGTCTATCAATCTCTCAAAATAATCAATCAATCAATCAGTGGTTTTGCTATGCAGATACAATGTCTAATTTAAGATTAATCCACCATTTTTTTTTAAAAATCACTCACCCTCAAAATATCAATTACTTCTATCTCTCCCTCGATCTCCATTTTATTTTCCAACCAAGAGAATTGTCAGCTATTCGGGCAGCAGCAGTTACAACCTTTTACAGCATTAACACATATTGGCCATCTTCTTACACCCTGTGTTACCCAGTGATATACAGTGCCCACATTGAGCACACTATAAGTTATCTAACACAGCACACACAGGGCCATCCAGCTGTGACAATGGCAAGGTTCAAAAACCCTGAATTTTGTAATTTTGAAGAATCTACATGTGTGTGTTCAACGTAACAACTTAAGACAAGTCCCTATTTTAACATCAGCTTCTTAGGGTGCACCAGCTGTGCTACAGAAAGCTGTCTTCACACCCTGTGTCCTAGAGCCACATCATCAAGCTTGACCATATGATTAATTTGACGTGAACTGACCGGTGGATATTCAGGGTACACAAGCTGTGCTTTGGGTGTATCCCTGTCTATGTATAACATGGTTATTAATAACTGACTTGACAATGCACATTCCCTAGAAAACTGTCAAACCTTTCATGCTCCATCTTTAACATCTGACTTACTAATAGCCCAATCAAAAAAACACTGAGAGCTTCCTTTCTTTTGATTTACCTGTAACTTTTACTAGCATCTAAATGATAAATCTTTTTCTTTACTGCTTGTAACTGGTTGATAAATCTTCATTTGCAATTTTTTTCTTTCCTATCTTTTTTCCCTTTTTTTTTTTAAATTGAGCTCATTTTAAACTTATTTCAATAAAAGTGATAAAAGGATGATGTAATAACCATGACCTTGAAGGTCAACATCAAGGTCAGTGAGGTCAACATCAAGGTCAGTGACCTGCATCACTGCCAGTCTTTTGCTTGGAACCCCCAAACAGAAAATGACATTCACTCCTGCCAAGTAGCTCTGGGCTAATACTCTATCTATGCAGTTTAAAAGTTGTTTCTAAAAACAAAATGGTACGATCAAGTAGTGGAAACTGTATACTCAATTTAGACCAAATTTACCCATTCATATTCTAAAAAAACCAGTGCAATAATCTAGATTCATTAACTGACAAATCCAGTCTCTAAATGCTTCACACACGCTATTTCAGAACATTTACACCTTATAAGTTGTACAGCTACCAAGTGTGTATATAATAGATATTTTAAAAATATCTATCATATACACACTATCTCAGATATTTGGCAATTGGTGATAAATCTGCCCAAAATCATCCATCACATTCGCTCCTAAGAAATTTGGCAATTTTTTACTTCTATCACCTTTTACCTCCAATAACAAACCACAGTAAAATGAAACAAGGGTATTTTACCTTGTAGTCGGGTCGTATGACCAGCTGACCCACTTTGGCCTCATCTTTCTCGGGTATCCTCCAGATCGCCTTCAGGACGATCCTGTTCCTAGCCATACAACGCACACATAACATTGAGATAAGGGGCCGAAGTTCTCACATACATGTACGCACCAGTTTTCTATGCTCTTCAGCCTTCTCAGAAATAAAATAGTTTACCCCTTTAATTCCATTTTAATGATTAAATCAATACATGTTAGTTGGCATGGTTTTTGAAATGCTGTAGACGACTTTTAGAAGCAGTTTTCCTGATATCCGTGTTTCCTCGTCTCTGATGCATTGTGACATTGCTTTTGAAAAAATAAGTTCTTCAAACAAAATTACTTCGGCACTGCATATTTTCTGTAACCGTATGATGTTAACCAGGCAATTTGCTCTTTATCTATGCTGTGCACTGTTACGAAAAGATTCACCTTCCGACATATTTCAGGAACAGTCCATCAATGGTTTCCCATCCTGAGAAAAAGATTCTACTGAACTATTCAGAGAAGCTGAGTAAATGCATGTTAAATATCAGAGACATTTTACAGATTTAAAAAGTAAATGCCAGACAAAGACTCACTTTGCGGACTTCCACATGTTTTTACATACAATCCAGAGATAATTTCACGACCACTAAAATTCGTAACTGTGGACAATTCTACAGTTTCAATGATGATGTCCAAGTACAGTAAGCATATTCCAGTGTGTTTTTAAAAAGTCACTGAAAATGCCATTTACTTGTTGTACAACAGTGGCTAGACTTCAACATGAAAATACAGTAAACCTCCAAGCAGATGTTGCCATTGCAGATCCACTGAATGGGTCATCTATATGGTAATATCAGAGGAAAAGGATGGCTGTTCAGGTACAAACACGTGCCGCCACTGGTCATTCAATTAGAAAAAAAAAAAGCCTTCACAACGTTCAACTTTGATCAAATTAGCATAATGGCATCCATCTTCCCCCATCTGGATTAAACTGTCAATGGCATTAATCATCTATCAACGGCATTACCAATCCATAACAGTAGCATTAATACTCCTGTCATACAAGAAAGCTGCCAGATGGAGTGTTGTTAAGATTAAAAGACAGCGTCACAAAATGTTCTTAATCCTCTGCCTCAATTGTAACTGGAGGAAGTCTTTAGACATACGGCAATCACTGTTTGTCAGTTCTAAAGCATGGGAAAAGTCACACTTCTCCTCCATGTGTACATCCAGAAGTTATATTACTGTTATGTTGCGCAATGACTTACATTATAAATCATTAATGATGCTGAAGAACTGCCAACTAATTGGGTAACCTTGGGTGAAGTACCCACATCCAGAGAAGTGACATAGTAACATCAAAAGCACTGACAGCACAATCCGATCATTTGGAGTTCAACTCTGCTGGTTGGGCGAATCGCTGACACAAAATTACCAGCATCTCTTGGTAAAACTTCGTTTTTGATAAATAAACCAATCCATCGAAATGTGGCACTTCTGTTCCTTGTCATATGTTTGAATTAATCTCCATCGTTCACTCCAAGGCTGTTCCATCTATAAATACATTTTTGTGTCACCTGGTTTTTGTCTATGCGCAAATGTATTGATTCAGCAAAACCTTTCTCAGATTTCTAGGAAACCTCACGGCACTGCTGCTTTATTGGCACTGTAATGAAACAGCATCTCCTGACATGTCCCAATTATAACCATTCTGCTTTAAGGGGCAAATTAAACAAGTAATGAAAACCTTTCCGTAACATCTGCCAGATAAAAATATAGGACAGTCCTTGTTATGCCATGTAACATCTTTTTTTTTTTGTCTGATGAGTCAACTCTCTCTGCTTTTTTGTGCAAACAATTTGCATGCAGGCCTTTATGTTACAAACAACTCACTTTCACTCATACACCAACTTGCAGGGGAATAACTTTAAATCCTGAAGTTTCACAAAACTACCACAATTATGGCTAATTATGACACTAAATTTTCACAAGATTACCACAATTATGGCTAATTATGATACTTTTCTAATTACACATTATGAGCTCTCAGCATATGGGCTCTTTATTCTATAGGAAGGCAGTGGCTTGGATATTTGAATATAATTATACTAGTATGGTTTCAGTCACATTTCCCTAAACAGACAACAGCACTTGACAAGTTGATCATATACAGTTTGCATTATTTATGTATAATGATTTAATAAAACTGCTATCATTCATAATTAAAAAAAAAATTTTACAAATAAAATGTACCATTCCTATGTTGTGAAAGATTACTTTAACCATGAGGATTTGCAGATAATTTCCCTTAGCTAAAAGAATTTGACTGAGCATGAAAAAGCCTCTGTATTTCCAGACACTAAATAAATAAATATTGCAAATATGCCTTCTTTTAATTTGCCCCTCAGAGATTTGTGTAACATCAGTGTTTACAAAAAGTCTTTAATAACAACATTTTCCAACAACATAAATATGAAGTATATTTAGGAAGCATTTTCCAGTTAAAATATGCCAGTAAGATACTGGTGTAGTCACCTTTCATTGTGCTAGTTGAGACAGCTGAAGCAATTGAAGTCATGTTGTGAGTCACAACCAATCAGCCACCAGTCACAATGCATTTTATGAAAGGCATGGGAGCTTGGATATCCAAAATAAAAGCAATAATAATAATAATAATAATAATAATAATAATTCTTTTGTCAAGGTAGCTAAGTTGTTAATGTCCGTTGTATAAGCAACACACTGGAATACTTTGTCAGACTACAACTTCTAGTCCTTGGCTTACAGTCCACTACAACCAGTCCAGTATGTCCAGTCCCTGACTAACAGTCCACTCTGTCCACCCAAGTGTTTGTTCTATACAATTGTGTCCAGCCATGCATCTGGTATATGACTATTGTCCACTCCAGAATAGATGTCCTTGTTCAGTAGTATCCCTGCAATGGCTATGTCAACACTATGGGCCTCTTGGTCAATACTGGACCATTGTTAAAAGTATGGGCATTGGGGCGGGGGCGGGGGGGGGGGGGGGGGGGGACTACAATTTGGGTTATTATTTACTAGATTCTACCAGAACTAGGTCATTATTGGTATAACTCTCAAGACAATTTTTCCTAAAATGACTAAGAAAAGATTTATATGATCTGAAAAAGCAAATGGGATTTAAGCCAAAGACTGGGTTCAGAAAGTTAGAAGTAAGTTGTTGCAGTGCCCAATCACGTCATAGCACAATAACGGTATATATTTTTTAAAATCTGTAGACTAAGGTCAGTCATATTATATCAAGCCATATTTTCAGCTCGGTTAACAGACTATGACACCAGATCACATCATTATGACAATTACCATTATGGTAAATAATTATCAATTCCATCAAAATTTCAATTCACTAGACCTCATTTTCTTGGAACACTTGTTTTTTATCCTTATCCTACCCTCCTCCTCTTTCAATCTTGATAAAAAAAGGAAATTGGCTTTTTCGTTACTTCAATTTCCAGAAGCCAACTGAACCATCTAGTCATTATTAACCACTCAATATATTAATCGAGAAACCATTCTCTTCTTTGGCTGCCGCAATTTGAATGAATGCTACTTCAAGGGTTCAATGAGCTCACAGAGGATTAAAAGGAAGAATCGTATTTTGGAGTCATTTCCACTGTGATTGATACAAAAATAACCGATCGTGACTAGAAAGCCTAGAATTGATCCATGGATATTTTATCAAATTGAAATAGATTCGGTGACTGATGCATATGGTAGTATTGCCTGGGTTATCATCTTTTTTCTTCCTCATATTTTATTTGGATCAACTGATGATATGTTATTTTCATTATACATTAAAGGGACAAAAAATAGGATTAAAAACGCCTTTTTAGTGCATGGATTGCTTCTTTTTTAACTTATCTGAGAACAATTGCTATGGGTAAAGCATAAAATGGCAGGTAAATGGCCTTAATCAATATCGAAAAAAAGAATCATATTCACCGTCCACTTTCGAACCCCGGGCGTCAGCCATCTTGACACAGTTTGAAATAACGCGGCTTCTCGACTCAGATACGAGATGTAAACAATGCAGACAGCATGCCGTTTCGAAGGTGAGCGTGGACGTGAAGGAGAAGAGGAATTGCTCACCGAATCTTTGCAGGTAAGCGAGTTATATTTACCAAAAGTACTT